GTTTGTCTTGACCGATTAGTTGCACTAGTACATTTATGTATTGAACAGGATCCAGATAGGGATGTTCGTTTTATACTGATCATCGTAAACGAACTAGGCCTCAGTTAATTATTGCGTGCTCTTAACCCGTAAGATATTAAATAGGCATGTGCATATAATTGTTGTTGCTTTGATTCTTTGGGTGAGATCCAAGCCGGGTCGACATACTTAATGAATTGGGTAATGACATTATGTGTTCGATGTGCTATTAGGATATTTACGGTCACCGTGTGCGTTAGTATGATGATGTCCCCGAAGTGAGTTCATGAAGGAATATTATGCTAAACCCTGCAGGTGGATTTATTCCGGCATAATATGAATGCTATGAGCGAGCTCTAGCTTCGGTAATATAATATATTAATTAATTCTTGATTATTAGTGATCGAATTAATTAATGTACATTTTATCTTAAACATGGGGAGGTAAATCGGATAATTATAATAAGGAGTCTCAAATGTAATTTGGGATAGGTGAGGGGAGTGCAATAATATTATTGTGGTGGACTTTAATATTATTAATATATTAATTGTGGGGTTGCTCCACAGTATTAATATATTAGAAGCCCTTATCCTATTCTTCTTAGGGTCCCTATTGTAGCTCTATATATACAGCATTAGGCTCATGGAAGAAGAAAAGAATCCCATATCCTTGGGAATTGCGTCCAGCCCTCTCTCTCTCTCTTCCAAGGAGTAGTTCTATTTCTTGTGCTCCACTGATACAAGATCTAGATAGCTGTTTGAGAATACAGTAGAAGATCTTAAGGTATATACGGGACTCCAATTAGATCTATCATACATCCAAACCGGAGACCAAAACCAGCAAGTGACCATACCACGACGACCAGGACGACGAGATGAAGAGATCGTCGTCGAGATCGCCGCCAGCCGCCGCCGCACGCGCCTCCACGCGTCGCTGGAAGGAAGCAGTTGCTGGGACTTACTCGCGCGCGTGAGAGCGCGTAGATCGTCCGATTTCCGATCGGTCAACGCCGTTGACTTCGCCGTGACGTCAGCTTTCT